TGTACAGATTTTAATGTCTCGTTTAAGTTTAATGTTAGCTACGGCAGCATCACTCTTTTCACATTCTCGGACGATACAATAACGATAATTATACTGGTCGGCAACAAAATCCTCCTTCAAGTAATGATGTCATAGGTATGAAGATGTTGATGCTCTGAGTCTGTTTTTGTTGGCCGATTCTCTCTATCATGTCTAGATTATTCAAAATGAATTTATTTGTGCTTATTTAGAAGTTGTCGCTATACTTACTGGATTGCAAGGAGGATACACCAAGTTTTGCTGTTCTGGCCACAAAGAAAAAGCTTGACACCTGGACTTAAAAATGTATCGTAAGAGCCTCTAGTGTCAAGTGACAAAAATTTTTCTGCCACCACTTCACATAATGTTGAGACTCATGAAAAACTTTGTGAAGGCTATGGACAAGAATGGTGCAGGCTTTCAATATCTCAAAACAAAAATTTCCTCGAATGAGTGACCCGAAATTGAAAGAAGGAATTTTTGAAGGTCGGCAAATACTTATGATGGATGAAATCTTCAAACAAGGCTGAAAAAAGCTTGTAAAAGTGTGTCATGATTTTCTTGGTAATATAAAAGCTGACAACTATCGAAAAATCGTTCGAGAGCTTCTTTCTGCTTGTAAAGCTTTAGGATGCAATATGTCACTCAACATTCATTTCTTGGAATCGCATGTAGATTTCTTTCCGGAAAATCTCGGTGCCGTATCAGATGAGCACGGTGAAAGGTTTTATCAGGATATAATGCATGTTGAAAGACGCTACAATGGAAAATAGTCAGCAGTAATGCTTGTTGATTTTTGTTCGCCGAGAAATTTCGATGGAAACAACGAAAAGAAAAAACTACAAAATAACTTGAATTATATCATCATATTGAGATAACTATACTGATATTTCTTTAACTTGTGATAGTAAAATTAGCACATTTCACTGTAAAACTTAGACCTTAGTCTTTTTTAATTAAATTGACATTAAATTTTCTAAATCAATCTGCTGTATTTATTTGCATATTAAATTCTGTGTTTAGAGCACCGAATATGATGTTATTATGCATGAAAACATTGACATTTTGCAGACCAGTCTTACTATATTTTTCATGTAATACAGTAGACGCCATGTTTATATGCTTAAAAGTTTGAGAGGTTATGCTGCTGTCAGAGCACATTCATATGTGCTAAACATCGTGGACAGCGTTTTTGTCTGACTAAGAAAAATATAATTTTAAAAAAGTGTTATGGTATTTAAGGTGTGAAAATAATACGGTATAGTTGTAGTCACCATTCTAGGCGGGTCAAAGTAAGACTACCAGTATCCCTTTATATACGGGTGTCCCAGAAGTCGACGTCAAGCCGAAACCGGGAGATAGGCAAAGTCATAACAGCTATCAGAAAAATATTTAAAAAAATTTTCTGTATGTGTTTTGAAAATTATAGGTCTTTGAGAAAAATATAGAAATTTCACACCCTACGGCAGTCTGTCAACTCCTGTTACTACAAATATTAACTTTTTTGGATTTTATTTTTACAATGTAATGATGAATAATGCATCTTCAAACTGGTGTCTCAACCTTACTGCCAACTTTTCTCGTTCAGGAAAAATTTCCACTTATTTCCCAACCAAGTATTCCAAAGTAAAACTTTGCTCAACTTTAACTGGCTGTACTGGAAAAAAATGTACTACGAGAGTTTGGCAAGTAACCTTAAAAGTTGGCACATTTAATAACGATTCCAAAATGGTATAACACTTAAAAGATTACTCGTTAACTTATGCACAATTTTTATTTGAAGAAAACTGATGAAAATTTTTCAAAATTTCCTAATTAAACAGCGTTTATGAAAACGCACAAGGACCCTTAAGGATAACTGTTTGCACAACAGTGGGCGTCAAAATGCTGCTGATGATGATTTACCTTTACAGCAAATGCTCAAACTGGTTTCCTTCAGCCGCAATACACGCTCGACATCTTCTTAAAAAAGATCGGCTTATTAAGCGAGCAAATCCACGATTATTAACAAACTCAGCTGCTTCCAATAGTCTTCGCCGTAGCTCAGCTACATTTTGAATCGGCTTGAAATACACTTTTTCTTTTACAGTTCCCCAGTAAAAATATCTAAAGGATTCAAATCAGGTGATGGGGCTGGCCACGGTATTGTACCAGACCGCCTTATCCATCTGCCTGGAAAGTTTTGATCGAGATACCCTATCGCTGAGAGTGCATAGTGCGCTGGGCAGCCATCATGCTGAAACCACATGTCCCTGTAAATACTCAGTAGCACGTCCTCCAATTAATTTTCTAAATGATTTTGCAAAAAACCTAAATAAACCTCAGCAGTCAAAGTCTCTGGGAACTCAAACGGACCGATTATTTTACCATTTAAAATTCCTGTCCAATGTTTTATCTTGAAGTGATATTGAGATTTATCTTCTCTCATCAAATGTGGGTTTGATACGTGCCACTCGTGTAAGTTATGCAGGTTCATGTACCCATCTTTCTTAAATGTGGTCTCATCTGACCATAAAATTTTTTCAAAGAACCGTGGATCTTCCCTGTGTCTTTCTAACATTGTGCGACAAAAAGCAACTCGGGGCTCATAATCCCGGCGCAGAAGAGCTTGAACACGCTGCACGTGGTATGGATGGAGCACGTTTTTTTGCAAGATTCTGTGGGCTGTACTTTTGGGCACACCTGTTTTTAGTTCTATTGCACGCATTGAAGTACTTGGGTCTTCTTCGACAGCTCCTAGCACCACGTCTTCGTAAGGAAGGAAATATCTTCCCTCACCGTGTGACTGGTTTGGTAGTTGGCCCTCTGAGAACAGTAAGCGGTGCACATTTGTGAACACTCGGTGATCTGGATGACGAGCTGCATTCGGGTACCTCTCACAGTAAAGTCTCGCTGCAGCACTAGCGTTGCATCTGCATTCCCCATAAATGAGGTGCATGTTAGCATATTCTTGTACGGTGTACACGGACATAGCGGCACTGCACAATCACACTATCAAAGATAGTCTAAGGAAAGCAAATGTTGTTTTGAAGAGCAATTAAACAGTCCAAATCCAAATCACAAGCGATCAACAGTCCAGTTCACGAATCCAAAATTAGTAACGATACGAAATCAACAAGCACGAACATGTAAAGATGCGCAGTAAACGAAGGAGTACTGATCGGTATCAAAGTGTGCAATAGCAAGTAAGTGATGTACTTCATCCATACCACATACAGCGTGTTCAACCTCTCCTGCCCCGGGATTATGAGCCCCGAGTTGCTTTTTGTCGCACAATGTTAGAAAGACACAGGAAAGATCCACAGTTCTTTGAAAAAATTTTATGGTCGGATGAGACCACATTTAAGAAAGATGGGTACATGAACCTGCATAACTTACACACGAGTGGCACGTAGCAAACCCACACTTGATGAGAGAAGATAGATCTCAATATCGCTTCAAGATAAACCATTGGACAGGAATTTTAAATGGTAAAATAATCGGTCCGTTTGAGTTCCCAGAGACTTTGACTGCTGAAGTTTATTTGGATTTTTTGAAAAATCATGTACAAAGCTTATTGGTGGACGTGCCACTGAGTATTTACAGGGACATGTGGTTTCAGCATGATGGCTGCCCAGCGCACTATGCACTCTCAGTGAGAGGGTATCTCGTTCAAAACTTTCCAGGCAGATGGATAAGGCGGTCTGATACAATACAGTGGCCAGCCCCATCACCTGATTTGAATCCTTTAGATTTTTTACTGGGGAATTGTAAAAGAAAAAGTGTATTTCAAGCCGATTCAAAATGTAGCTGAGCTACGGCAAAGACTATTGGAAGCAGCTGAGTTTGTTATTAATAACCGTGGATTTGCTCGTTTAATAACCCGATCTTTTTAAGAAGATGTCGAGCGTGTATTGCGGCTGAAGGAAAACAGTTTGAGCATTTGCTGTAAAGGTAAATCATCATCAGCAGCATTTTGACGCCCATTGTTGTGCAAACAGTTATCCTTAAGGGTCCTTGTGCGTTTTCATAATCGCTGTTTAATTAGGAAATTTTGAAAAATTTTCATCAGTTTTTTTTCAAATAAAAATTGTGCATAAGTTAACGAGTAATCTTCTAAGAGTTATACCATTTTGGAATCGTTATTAAATGCGCCAACTTTTAAGGTTACTTGCCAAACTCTCGTAGTACATTTTTTTCCAGTACAGCCAGTTAAAGTTGAGCAAAATTTTACTTTGGAATACTTGGTTGGGAAATAAGTGGCAATTTTTCCTGAACGAGAAAAGTTGGCAGTAAGGTTGAGACACCAGTTTGAAGATGCATTATTCATCATTACATTGTAAAAATAAAATCCAAAAAAGTTAATATTTGTAGTAACAGGAGTTGGCAGACTGCCGTAGGGTGTGAAATTTCTATATTTTTTTCAAAGACCTATAATTTTCAAAACACATACATAAAATTTTTTTAAATATTTTTCTGATAGCTGTTATGACTTTGCCTATCACCCGGTTTCGGCTTGACGTCGACTTCTGGGACACCCTGTATCCATCTCCTTCATACATACATACACATGCAACCTACCCCTGTGTGTGAACGTTTGTTCGGTAAGTTCAAAGACATACGACATTCGAGTTGTGTTATCAATCTTCAATATAAAATTGTACAATGCTCGGAAATACGATCAATGGATAAGGCCGACAGCTCGTGCTAAATTTACTAGAGTATTTTCAGGAGCAGAATGAAAACAGCGGTCCCCTGTTACCCACTTCATGCGTACTAGAGAGAGTAGCAGATGGTCTGAAGACTAGTCTGCGCAGTGTTCGGCCCATGGTACGGAGACTCGATCTGTTTACTTATTTCATATGGCTTTGATGACGTAACTGCCAAGAACGGTGACTACAACTATACTATTTTCTTTTTGGTGTAATAGAACAAATATTAATTACTTGAGACTTACTTTAAAAAAAGTATCAACTAGTCTATTACAAAAACATAGTGCTCACCTGTCTCCTAGCTTCATAAGTTCAGCGGTAGGATCGGATCCTGGGCTCAATATGAAAACTACCGGCGTCATGGGACTGCTCTGTTCGAATATGCTATCTAAACTGATGACAGGTGGCATTATATACTCTTCACCCATTGTCTCAGTAATGTAATCTCCGACTGCTCTGTATACTCGATCGATTCTGAAGCATCTCAACAACATAAGAATCTGGTCACAAAAAAATGCATTAGGCTCGCTTGCAAGAAAATTATTATTTATTTAAGTATCAGCTACACAAAAGGTAGGTAATCAAAGCTCTCATAAAATGTACCTTGGCATGGCATTGAGTTTTTGGATTAATCAAGTAATGATATCCTACTTTGAATATGTCTAATCTGAAAAAAATCGGTGAAAATACGGTTTCTTCCAATATTTGGCGATTCTTCAGACAAGAAATCACGATTCTGATAATGGAACTGAAAAAAAAATGTAGAAAAATCATATATTCAGTGGGTTCTCTGTCAGCCAAGTGTTCCTTCCTGTCAAAAAACAGCGTCAAAGGTTTGAAGAAAATATGTGAAAATCCGGTTTTTCCTATTTTTGCTATTTTCCGGGAAACTAATCAAAATTTTGACTATCGAACCTGGAAGAACGCTCAAAAATACGTGTTGGTTGAGTTTGTGAGTTAGCCGATTTGAGCTATTCCACTATTAAATTCCGAAAATTGAGGAAAAGTGATGAATATACGGGTTTTCCGATTTTTTTGATTTTCGTGGAAAAAATCATGACTGTAAGTGGACCTGAAGAGAATATAGAATATATGTATACAGTGGGATTTTTTGTTTGTGAAATTTTCATTACGTAACCAAAAATTCGAATAAAGAAAAATTTTTCCACAGATGTATTAAAAATTACACGGTTGTAGACTGTAACAGCTCTGGCAGTTGCCTCGAAATTTTTTGAGAAAAACTGCGCCCGTAAAAAATATTTTCGAAAATATTTTTTAAAGTTAGGGGACCCTAAGGGTATCGAGTAATAGCTTGTTTGAAAGGTCTTTGAAAGTCCTCTATTTTGACGTTTAATTTTTTCAAATCAGTCGAATCCTTTTCGGGAAAACTAGAAAAATCTTCATTTATATTAATCTATTCAGATTTTTAATTCAATAAGTGCTCAAAATGTTTCCCGTTACGGAAAATGGTATTATTTTAATAAAAGTTGATGAATGTATTTATCTTTCTGTAAATACCAAGTGAAAAAATTTTCAGCCTTATCAGTTGGACATTCCGGTTTTTATACTGCTTTTTTTTAATTCACTAACGCTCTAAAAATGAATATTTCAGCCGCAGTAAAGAATCAACGTTGGCGGATTTTGGTTCTTGACATCCTTTACGATCGGTTACGAAGCCTAGAGTACGAAGACCTGTACGGTTTCGTCAACTTAGTGAGTTTGATAGGGGCCGTATAGTGGGACTTCGGGAAGCTGGACTTTCTTTTCGGGCAATTGCAGTTAGAGTGCAAAGAAGTGTAGACACTGTGGTTAGGTGTTGTCAGGCATGGCTTCGAGAAGGCCATACGCAAAGAGCAAGGGGCACTGGACGCCGCCGTAGAACAACAGACCGTGAAGATCGCCGCCTAAGATTATTGGCCTTAAGGGACCGTTTCTCCACTACCAGGTCCATTGCAAATGAATGGTTTGCAGAACACGGAGGACCTATTGGCATGCGAAGTGTTTACCGACGAATGAGAAGTTTTTTCTTGTGTTCATACCGGCCACACTGGGTGCTCCCTTTAACTCGAGAACACCGACGTAATCGCCTTGAGTGGTGCAGACAATGGTCACTCTGGGATCAGGAATGGAACAGTATTGTCTTTAGTGACGAGTCTCGATTTTGTTTAGGCATGCACGATGGTCGTGCCAGGGTTAGAAGGCGACGTGGTGAAAGGAGGAATCCACAGTTTTTTGTTGAAAGACATGTTCATCACACTGTTGGAGTTATGGTTTGGGGTCCTATAGCTTATGGTTCCAGGTCACCTTTAATCTTCATCAGAGGTAACATGAACGCGCAGCGTTATATCCACGAAGTTCTAGAACCCCATCTTTTACCCCATCTTGACACCCTGGCAGATCCAACTTTCCAACAAGATAATGCCCGACCACATGTTGCAAGATCTCCCGACTTATCCCCAATTGAGCACGTGTGGGATATGATGGGTAGGAGATTGCTCAATTTGCAACGTCTTCCTCAGACTCTAGAAGCACTTCGAGAGGAGTTGGTGGTTGCCTGGAATGAGATATTACAGGAGGTCATTGACCACCTGATCAGAAGCATGCCTAGGCGCGTTGGAGAATGCATAGCACATCAGGGTGCATCCACACATTATTAAAAGTCAAAGGGCTTTAAAGCAGTGCAATCATTTTGAAATTTTTATCATTTACGTATTATGCTTCATTAAGTACTTATACAACATTTTATTAAAATAAAACCATTTAAACTGGGTGTTCGGATGTATATGTCACTTAGTATAAACAGCAATTCGGAAGATTAGACAACAACTAAATAACAACCAACGTAGATATCCTGGGCGAAATGTATTCATTGTTATACCTCTTTAGTTAGTATTTGTTGCTAAGGAAAAGAAAGAATTTAATTTGCTGTGAGTTATCTTTATGATAATCTTTGGGATAGTGAAAACTAATTTATTGATTCAGATCTTACTTCCAAGATGGTTCACATACTAGCCGAAATGATTCTAATTTATATAAGATGACTTCACATAGGTATGTTTTGGACCTTGTTATTAAATTTACTCAAACTGGATTTGTTACAATTAAAAAAACGTCTTCACCGCTCAAGTTGAAGTTTTGAGTAATTTTGGAATAAATCCTAATATTCCATTACGAAAAATTTTTGCTGCGACTGGTATTCCATTAGGCTCTGTACACACAGTTACTGAACTCCACAAAATTCATCGATTCCAAATGAAAATATTGCGAGTTAACTGAAGATGATTTCAATAGGCGAGTTCAGTTTTGTGAACAAATGACTGAAGCGATTAATGATAATACCATTCATGTAAAGAATATCTGCTTCAGTGATGAATGCATATTTTATCAAAATGGATTTGTTAATAAGCATAACTGCAGGTATTAGATCAATTAAAATCCTCTTGCGTTTGTAGAAGGGCATACCCAGTACCCCCAAAAAATCAATGTATGGGCAGGCATGTTGGGAAACAAAGTGATTGGGCCATTGTTTATTAATGGAAATTTGAATGGAGACATTTATTTGGATATGTTGGAAAATACCATCAATCCGCTTATCACTGAAACCATTGAAAACCAAATCGAAGAGGATGGAAACCCTATATTTGACGAGGCTGAAATATATTCCCAGCAAGACGGCGATCCTCCTCACTATGTTCTTCCGGTTCGGCAATGGCTAGACGACGAGTTTCCAGATAAATGGATAGGGCGAAGAGGGTCTGTAGAATGACCAGCTAGATCTCCTGACTTGACGCCATTAAACTTTTGTCTATGAGGCCATTTGAAATCTATTGTGTTTAGTCCCCAACCTGAAAGTTTGGATGAACTTCGTCAACGCCTCATCGAAAGCTGCCATGATATCCCACAACGTGTTTTTGAACATCGCCTATATCATTGTTTAGCCAATAACGGGTAACATTTTGAACACTTATTGAAATGAAAAGTGATATTTTCGTGTGTTTTTATTTTCTATCTGAACAGATTAAGATAAATAAATATTTTTCTAATTTTCTTGAAAACGAGTTAACCGATTTAAAAAAATTAATCGTCATTCACACTCGATACCCCTTATGATTTAAAATTCTTAAGTGGTTGACCTTGGGGGGCAGAGGGTGAAAGGGGGTGAAGTAGTTCTAGGTTAAAAAGTTGTCACCCTTTTCAAATCTTTTGATATGGTTCAGCGTTTTTTCCTTAATCAGTGGTTTTCGATAAATTCGTGGTTGGAAGTTTTCAAATGAACACCTTGTATATAATTAGATTGATTTCTGCTGATGATACATTAGCTAACTAGATCAAAATAAACACGGTTATGTTGACATTTTTCACGTGCATGCGCAAAAACCTTAGGGGCACTACGTTTCCGAGATCCACGCCCTCCTTACCGACAATACGAGCCCCTTCCCACTTCAGTTGGCCCAACTATTGAAATCTTAGTTTTTTTCTTATCAAACACAAATAATAAAAATGTAGCAGGGTGTTATAGGTTTAAAATATTAACAATGAATGTTTTGATAATATATAGTAGAAAACACCAACTTTATCACTCCCTAATCAAATTTGCAGCATAAAAATAACACACGTTGCAATTACAGCATATCAACCTATTTTCATTTCAATACAAAATAAGTCTATAACGCATTGGTGGCTGTGAAAAATAAAAGCCATGACAATTGTTTTTATCAATCACAGCTGTCAGAATACGTTTAAAATAGTTTTGGGTAGTTAAGGTTTTCAAAATGGGTAGAGGAAAGGTTATTAGAAATTGCAACTTTGTCAGACTTATCGCGGTACAGTGTGAGAAATATTGTTATAAGATATAACGTAACTGGTTCAGTTAATATTAAGCCACGATATGTGAAAAAAAGTAATATCACAAATGCCGACCGAAGAGCATTAAAAAGAATAATCGTGAAAAACAGGCGTGCCAAAACACTAAAGTTGCACAACTTGTTTATAGGCCAAAGAAAAGCCACTATTAACTCCACTGCAAAAGAAAATCTGCTAAAGGACATAGACAATGAACACCTCAACAATGGTGTGCAATACAATGGAGTGATGAGGCCCGATTCGAAGTTTGTGATGGTGACAGTCGCAGTAGAGTTATTCGCAAAAAATTATACATTCCATGTTGACTGTCTGAATAGAAAAGTGAAATTTCCAGCATCCATCATGTATTGGGGCAGTATGTCATCAAAAGGAGTAGGAAAACTTCATTTTATTGATGGAAATGTGGATAAAAACAAATATTTGACAATTTCAGAAGAATCGCTTTTACCAGTGATGGAAGAATGTTTGACATCCGGCCAAGATTTTGTGTTTCAGCAAGATGGTGCAGCGTGCCATACCTCAAAAAAGGCCATAAAATAGATGAAAGAAAATAATGTACCACTTTTGAAGCAGTCCAGATCTGTCACCTATTGAAACTTTGTGGCACGAGATGAAAAAGGTTCTACGACAACATCCTGCTCGTACAACCACCGAACTGAGACAAAAGCTTCAAGAAATATGGGATTGTTTTACACCATTGATTCCCAAAGTGGTCTATATCGACCCCTAGGGGTCTATGACAACCTGACCCCTTGCTACGTCAGCGAAAAAAAATTGGGGCTCCATGAAATGAATATGGGGGTCCACGATAGTGGATCTCAACACATACACTGATAGTACCTATTTACTTACTTCATACTATTTTATAATATCAAAACATATACATTATTTATAAAAGTACCTACGAAGTAAAAAAGTTATTATATATGTTTATAAAATTGTGTAAGTTGTAGGATGTTGGTATTCGCTTTGTGGTCGCAATACATTTTGAACTTGTAAAAACCTGAGAGTCGCAGTCTCAGGGCTTCGCTACCTTGCACTGACTTGTTCAATTCGTCACTCTATAAATACGATGTGGGACAAATACGTTTATTCGTTTCCTGAATCTTGAAAAGAAAAGTGCTAAGAAAACATTTTAAAAAATATAAACAGATAGTATATCACACAAATTATAGTGAGTCAGTGTCATTTTGTTTGAGAGTGCTGGAGAAAAGTAAGTACATTATTTTTTATTAAATTTTAGTTCTGTACTCGTAGTTAGCAAAGATAGATAAATTACGCCAATCATGACTTTAGTTATTGGTAGTTAAATATTCAATAATGCAAAATTACACGAGTACTCCTCAATAGTTTCTTTTTGAAAGTTGTATCAATCGGTAATATAATTACAGTGCAATCTCCGTAATTCGAGCTAATTGTTGCAAGATGTTCGAATTATGGAATATTTTCGGAAAAATCAAAAAATATTTTTAATATACAGCTGCTGGATTTTCTGTCTTATTTAAATAATTTAATTTTGCCCACAGATGACTGATGCCATGTCCGAATCTTAAAAGAAATGTAGACAGTACAGTGTTGATTATTTGAAATTTGGCTTCATTCCATCATTGCCGGACAAACAATTGCTTATGTGCCTTTTATGCAACAAAGTTTTGGGCAATGACGCTATGAAGCAATCTAAACTGCAAGATCATCTAAGAAGATGCCACCCTGATAAAACAGATAAAGATTTGAAATACTTTCAAACACTCAAAGATAAATTTCAGAAGAGACCTACGCTGGACAGAATGTTCGCTTCGACATCACAAAGAAGTGATGATGGTTTGCGGGCGTCTTACAATATCTCGTTACTTATAGCAAAATCAGGAAAACCGCAAACTATCGGAGAGAAGTTAATCTTGCCAGCCGTTGAAGAGATTTTAAAAACTGTTTTACACAAGCCTGCATCTGATATCATTAAAAGAATTCCCTTAAGCAACAATACTGTTGAAAGACATATTGATGAAATGAGTTCTGATATTGAAAGCTTCTTATGTAATTATTTGCAAACGACCCATTTTTCTCTATACAACTGGACGAGTCAACTTTACCTGATAATGCAGCATTATTATTGGCATATGTTCGTTTTATTATGAATCAAGAAATCTACGAAGGACTGCTCTTCGCAAGAACTTTGATAACCGACACTAAAGGTGAATCAATATTTCATGTTTTGAAGGATTACTTCATTGAAAAAGCAATTCCTTTATCAAATATAATTTCAGTAGCTACAGATGGAGCACCTGCCATGGTTGGACGTTATCGTGGATTCATAAGCTATTTAAAACAAAATGTGTCAGGGGTGTTAGCAATACTTTGGGTCATCCATCGACAACATTTAGTTGTTAAAAATTTGAGTGTTAGATTGCACGAATCACTTCATTTAGTCATTGATGCAGTAAACCGAATCCGAAGCAACGCGTTGAATACGCGGTTATTTGCGCAGTTGTGTGAAGAAAATGACGAACATTTTTATCAATTACTCCTTCACACTGAAGTACGCTGACTGTCGAAAGGCTTATTATGTTTGACAAGATTTTTTGCACTTTTTGAGACTATTTTAGAATTTCTGGATACTAAAGATAACATTTTAAAAGAAAATTCAATGAAGAGGAAAACAGACACCGCCTATTTAACAGATTTGTTTACAAAATTTAATATGGTTAATTTGCAATTACAAGGCGACAGTTTAAATTTGCTTAAAACAAAGTCCATCTTATCAGCGTTTCTTGCCAGAGTTAAACTAATGAAGCAAAATATTGGACGGGGCGAATTTTCTCAGTTCCCCAATTTGTCACAGACAAGCTGCCAGGAAGACGACGTGTCAACTTGCGTTCAACATTTAAATGCCCTCTATTCAGATTTTGAATCTAGGTTTGAGGATATTTTGACTATGGTAATTCCACCGTGGATAATTAATCCATATGGTGACATAGAAGAAACGAATGTCATAATACAAGAGGAACTGACTGAACTAAGTACAAACGAAGAACTTAAGGTTCAGTTTGAAAACGGATATCAGCAATTCTGGCTGCAAAACAACATACCCGTTACTTATCCCATTTTATGGTATATAGCGAGGACATTTTTAATTTCCTTTCCATCGTCATACCTAGTGGAAACGGGGTTCAGCGCTGTTACCAATCTCCTAATGAAAAAAAGAAACAGACTGGACATCATTAGCCGAGGAGATTTAAGATTAACCCTTACAAAATTGACACCAAATGTTGATAATTTATTATTAAAGCATCAGGTTCATCTTTCTCACTAAAAATATTGACTTATTGCTTAAGTTATTTTATTTATAGTTTATTTTATGTTTATTGGTGTCTGACCAATAAATGCCCGCACTGAGAATAAGTACCCGCATTGATTTTTTTAAAGAACCCCCCTTCATAGCAAATATATTTTTTTAATTATTCTGAAAATTCGTTAATTTTTTGTCTATTTTTAGATAACTTAAACGTATAAGAAGCGGAATTTAATCAAACTAACAGTGAAATTATTGTAGAACATACGTTTATGTTATAATTAATAAACGAACTCGCTTATTGTACTATTTTAAGTAAAAAACTTTTTTTTATTATTTTTCACTTTTTATTTCATCCCTCTTATTTTTTTTTCAATGCGGGCACTTATTCCCAATGCGGGTACTTATTGGTCAGACACCTGTTTATTTAATGTTACGTATATTTTATATAACAGATACAAAATTTTATTTTGAGTAGTTTTAATTTAAATTCAATTAATAAATGTGTAAATTAGCATGTGTTTTTACTTTAAGTTTTTAACACTAAACTTCACTACAGTTAGAAATTAACAGGAAATCAATATCAGGTAAGTAGGGGGTCTACCCAACACGGAAAAACATGGCAAGGGGTCTACGACACAAAGAAGTTTGGGGAACTCTATTTTACACCAAATTTTTGCCAAAACTTGGTTAACACTATGCCCCAAAGAATTTCATCCGTAATAAAAATAAAGGTGATGTTACCCAATGGTAATCTTTCAATTGTTGCTTTGTTAACTTCGCGCATTTATTCGCACATTGTTTATTTGTTCAGATGTTCTATTAGTTACAGGTCTAAGTGATTTCAAATATGTATTTTTTACGACTAGAGTGTATCTAGAATGTTTTTGAGAAAATAAATAGTTAGTAGATAATAAAGGCATATTTTGGTACAAATGTTGAAGTGGGCCAACTGAAATGGGAAGGGGCTCGTATACGAATGCTTGACAATTTACCTCCCTGGTTTCTTCTTTAGTATAACCATTTTGACGTGGGATGTTTACGGTGATGACATTACGAGGTCACATTTGTACATTTTGTTTACCTACGATTCTCAAAGTCTGACACGTTTTGCAGAAGTATTTTAGTAAATTTTTGGACTATGTTTCCCATCACAAAGCATCATTTGCCCAACTCAAAATTATACATAAAAAAATTCACTCACAAAGAACGATCCAAAAGGTTTTGGAAAAAATACAAACTCGTACCTGAAAAGGTAAGTTAGAAAGGGCCTGTCTGTAGCCACAAGGAAAGTCTAGAGTTTCTGGTGCATCTAGATCGTACCACAGTTGCCACTCATCAATATTATCTTCAACATCTTGTGGGAGTTTTCCGAATGTTTCCTAGAAATATATAGATGGATTCAAAATGTAATGCAAAGACTCAGACATTCTTCAAAATTATCGTTTATCATATTATCACCAACAAAACAGTATTCTTGGAATTGATCAGGAAATAACTCTTCGACCCCATTTCTGGTGGGTGAAGGCTTCAATAATTACATACTAGCGAATTCATTCTTAAATATATCTCGAAAAATTGATGAATACACATACTTTTTATAAAATATTCCGATAAATATAGTAATAAAACAGCCTGTTCGCACCTAGTTTAAAAAGTAAGTCATTAATGGGCGAACACTTTTGAACACGCGTTCCAATAGTGACCTTCTCAACGGGATGTGCGAAGAAGTTTTTTCACTACTAACGCTATACAGTATATTAGTCCGAACAAATTTTTGTTCGAATTTAGATACGCATACCCCCTAATTTTGTTCCATTTGACTCAAATTCAAAAAATAAGTATTATTGCGATCGGGGAACATAGGGAAATCATGTAGGGATTTCAAAACCTAATTCTTATTCGACAAATAAAACACTGTTTTATTTATATCTTATGTTTTTTAGATATTTATGATTAATACAACACAAAACGTTCATTTCAAAGTTTTCTTTTTAGAGTCAGGACACCTGCCTGTGTTTTTGTACGCAATGCAATAAAAATTGTTTTTGTTTGTTGTTTGTTGTTTCAGATTTATTTAGCATTAATGCTACAATATCTATAATATCCATGTTACACAGTATATCACATAATATATTATGTCTAAAAGACTACATATTTTTATACAAAATTTCACTACTATTAATTCTGGTTTTCCATGAGATATTTTTTCAACTTTCCGTTAAACATTTTCAAACTAACACACTTTCTTTAGTTTGCTATATTAACTACTACACTTGCTCTTTTTATTCGCTCCAACACAGACACGAAATATTGGTAAAGACCACACATAAAAATATCAACCAAGGATCACCGGGAAGATTAACGAAATATATATCGCCACACCTGTTTGCAGCTGCAGATCCCACACGGAAGAGATTGCACAAAATGAATTCTGGAAATACTTTTTTGACTTCTAATGTCAAAAATTAGGTCAAGCTAAAAAAAGGTTTTTAGGAGATTCCTGAATTTTTAGTTTGAATATGGAGGAAAACTCTAAAAAGGATGGAGCTAGTGAGGAAGTGGAGAGTGTGGTCTCACTGAGTGAAAAGGGATTTTGTACAGAGGAAGTTTTGAAACTAAAAGATTATACCATTTCGATTCAAGAGAAATTATTAAAAGAATTGTACGAAAAGAATTAAACAAAAAAATTGGGAAAATGCAACAGCCGTCACAAGAAGCAATTACAACTTACGCTAATATGGTTAAAGCTTCAGTGCCTTCAACCATTAATTCGCCTACAAAAATGGTAGAATATAAGCAGCAATGCGTACCATTACAAACATGTACAGCAAAAAAACAATCACCAGTATTAAAACCCATAAATACAGTCATTGTTAAGCCTAATAACGAACAAGAGTGTAATAACACAAAGAAAGACATCGCAAAATTTGTGAATCCTACCAGTTTGAAAATTGCTATTGAAAAAGATTATGAATTGAAAGATGGTGGGGTGAAAATCCAATGTAAAACAAAAGATGATAACGCGAAGCTACATAATGAAATAAAATCAAAAATGCCAGAAACATATACAGTGAAAACTTCAGAGATAAGTAAAAAACCACAAATCAAAGTTATTGGATTTTGTCAAGAATATGCAGAAGACGAGCTAATAAATACTATAAAATCACAAAATGAATCTTTTCAAGAAAATTCACATATGAGAGTAATTACAGTCAAGAAAATGAAAACTAAATATCAAGCAATTTTAGAAGTGGATGCTGTGACTTTTAAGTGTGTTATGAATCAGGGTGTTATTTTTATCGACATGTCTGTTTGCTCTGTTTTCGAGTACATCAATGTTTTGCGATGCTATAAATGTACCGGATTTAACCACACAGCTAAATACTGCACAAAATCAGGAAGATGTCTTACTTGTGGATTAGAAGGACATTCAACAGAAAACTGTAGTACCAGTGAAATGTACAAATGCTGTCCAAATTGTAAAAGTGCAAACCAGGATTTTAATCTAGGATTACCTATTAATCATGGACCATTTGACAAAAATTGTGAAGTATATAAAAGGAAAATTGAACGTGACAGGGAAAAAATTAATTATGCAAATGAATAGCAACTACTAAGCTCAGATTTGCAAGACGTGGCTAAATCTGTAAGTGATGAATATAACTCAATATACCATTTAAACATAGAAGGAGTCCTGAATAATATAGATGAAGTTCAGCAGTTTTTAAGATGGAGAAAACCACTTGTATTATGTCTTACCGAAACACATGCTACAGAAGACATCACTGATGGTGAATTACAAATTACTAATTATAAAACCTACAGATGCAACTCCAACTCCAGACATACTGGAGGTGTAGTGATTTATGTTTACCACAAAATACAGATCACATTATTCGATTGTACCACTTTAGACTATGCATACTGGTATGCACATATACATTTCAAATTATTTGGGAAACGTTATGATCTTTGTACTTTTTACCGTTCACCAAACAGTGATGCAGATACATTTTTAACGTTTTTTGAAGAAAAATGCGAAGAAATGTGGAATTTTAGAAACAATATAATACTTTTAGGTGATTTTAATTTAAATTATTATGGTAAAAGCATGAAAACAAGAAAATTGAAAGAAACCATAAACAACTATGGGTTCAAGCAAAAAATTGAAGAGAGTACCAGAATAACATCATTATAAGAGACTTTGTTAGTTCTTGTTATTGTAAATTTCGAATGTGCAGGGATTAAAGCTGTACATACACCTAAAGTTAGCGATCACAGTTGGACAATGCTGCCCTTGGTAGGGCATTTTTCTGGTACAAAAATTAAGAAAATCGTAAATACTATTAATTACGAAAAACTTGAACGAGAACTTGCTGGCTGCTATTGGAATTTTGGTGAGAATATGGAAAAAATATATGACAACATAATAGGAAATATAAAAACTTGTTTAGATCTTGCAACTGATAAAAAAGTGATTTACTCGACAAAAAATACACCCTGGTATAACAAGAATATTAAGGCAGCTCAAAATTTGAGAGACAAACAATACAATAAATGTATATTCACAAAATCAAATGATGATTGGGAGGTATATAAAACTCTTAGGAATAAATGTGTGTATGTAATTAGAGAAGAAAAAAGGAAATTCTACGATAATCAAATTGATAATAACAAGTGCGACAGTGTAAAGATGTCGAAGACTTTAAAAAGACTGATCAATTCTAAGCCGCATGATTGTGTAAATCAAGTTCAATTCGAAAACGGTACCGAAACAAATTCTTTGGTGATTGCCAACAAACTAAATGAATATTTTGTGGAAAGTATTGTTGATATTGTGGGTACTGTCAACGTTGCACCTGACTATATGAAAATCAGTTTCCAGGGGGAAATGTTGTATACACTTTCAAAATTTCACAGCGTATCATTGAATTATCTAAGAAAAAAGTAAACAGTTTAAAATCAAATTACAACTGTGCCGAAATGACTACTAAAAACGTGCTGAAAAACTGTTTCGAAATTTTGGGATATCCTGTATTAAATTGGATCAATTGTTCACTGAGAAGCAGTTCTTTCCCTGAAAATTTGAAATGCTCTACAATAACACCAGTTCCCAAAATAAAAAATTCTAAAAGATGCAGCGATATGAGACCAGTAAATGTGTTACCAGACATTGAAAAATTATTAGAGTCCATAGTGCATGACCAATTAATGCAGTTTATAGAAGAAAACAAAATTTTAGTGGAGGCGCAAGCAGGCTTTCGAAAAAAATATTCCACAGAAACAGCTTTCCAGTTGGTAACTGAGAATTGGAGAAGAGCCATAGACTCAGAAGAAGTTGTCATAGCAGTATTTTTGGATTTGAAGAGGGCATTTGAAACGATTGATAGAGATATCTTGTTAGGTAACTTGAAGGCATATGGTATAACAGGAAGTGTTTTAGATTGGTTTAGAAATTATTTGTCTAAAAGGATGCAAGTTAAATACCTGGGAGTTTTTTGTTGACTCTCGATTAATTTTTGATATTCATTATGAAAAAGTTATAAATAAGATTAGTAGTAAAGTGGGATATTTATCGAGAGTTTCTGGATGTCTGAGTTCATATAGCAGAAAAATTATCTATAATACCATCATTCTTCCAAATTTCTTGTACTGTTCGACTATTCTATATTTAGCAAATAATTCCATTTTTGAAAGACTGCAAATTTTACAAAATAAGTGCATGAGAATAATACTAAATAAAGATAAATATACTCCAGTTAGGCAAATGCTTAGCAAATTAAAATTGCTCAATGTAATAAATTTTATCAAATATCTTGTAATGATATTCATTTATAAAGTAAAAAATAATATATTTCCATCAAGTCTAACTAATTTAACATCATCAAATGTCGACCATCATTTACATAATACCAGAAATAAAGATGACTTCCATTTAATGACCAAAAAGTATAACATATGCTACAAATCTGTATTCCATCAAGGGTTGATTGAATATAATAAATTATACTCGGAGATAAAAGACCAGAAAACTTTGAAAAAATTTAAAGTAAAATTGAGAAATCACTTGTTAAATCTACAATTATAGGTTGCCCAGCATTTACATCATACACCATATGGCTTGAATTTACTAGTTCTAAGTTGTTTACAATTGTTCTGTTTATGTAGCCAAATGTGCTAAATAAATCTTTCTACTACTACTACTACTACTACTACTACTACCTGAAAATCATTGGACAACTTGATCATATTCTCCCAGCCTTGCGGCGATATCCACTTTGCCGGACATTCCCTGGTACTTTTTTCCAAGCTAACCGAGCCTTTGATGAAAAAGTCAAGTTCTAATTGCGACACTCTTCCCATATTCTGCTCCAGCTTTACTGTCATTTGGAAGGAGAAGAGCAACTTGTGCTTTTCGAATATGCCTGTACATCCATAGTCGTACACGTTCTTGGTTAAGGTTCCTATTATATTCATCAGTCTCCTGGCTAGAATCGTGTGCGGTAGTGCTTTTCTCAGCGAATAGGCGAACACCTCTAAATATGAACCCAGGGAGTACTGGTACATGGCATTGACGCTTGCCATGTCTGACAATACGAAGAATAAAATGGCACCCCTTCTAGCTACTGATCGGTAACCATCTCGGAGCTTGTCGATATCTTTGGCAGTTTCTTCAGCTAGAGCTAGTTTCTCCATTACTTCAGTTGCTTTTGTTTTGGTATTTTCTAGTGTGTTTACTAACTCGACGTTATCCAACATGTTTCCTAAAAAATGTACTTAATTGAGAAACGACTATGTGAAAACTGCACAATAGTTTCTTTTTTGTTGTGTTAATTTTCACCCATCATTTTTCTCTAATTGTTAGTTTAGTATTATTTCCGGGGGTTGCATAGAAGAGCAGCTACGAGCCCCTTCCCACTTCAGTTGGCCCAACTATTGAAATCCTAGTTTTTTTCTTCTCAAACCCAAATAATAAAAACGTAGCATGGTGTTATAGGTTTCAAATATTAACAATGAATATTTTGATAATATATAGTAGAAAACACCAACTTTATCCCTCCCTAATCAAATTTGCAGCATAAAGATAACACATGTTGCAATTACAGCATATCAACCTATTTTCATTTCAATGCAAAATAAGTCTATAACGCATAGGTGGCTGTGAAAGATAAAAGCCATGACAATTGTTTTTATTAATCACAGCTGTCAGAATACGTTTAAAATAGTTTTGGGTAGTTAAGGTTTTCAAAATGGATAGAGGAAAGGTTATGAGTGAGAAAATTCGGTTACTGATAATTAAATTTTTTAATTCTGGGAAATCAAACTCAAAAATTGCAACTTTGTTAGACTTATCGCGGTACAGTGTGAGAAATATTGTTAGAAGATATAACGTAACTGGTTCAGTTAATATTAAGCCACAATATGTGAAAAAAAGTAATATCACAAATGCCGACCAAAGAGCATTGAGAAGACTAATCGTGAAAAACAGGCGTGCCAATTATTTACAATTAAGTGGTCTGGGGAGTGACGCTGTTGGAAGGAGAATTTCGAGGTCCGCAACTCACACAGAGGCCCACAAACTGGGATTTAGCACTTGCAAGGTAAGTTTTCTTATAAAAAAAGTGAAGTAAAAGCCCTAAAGTTGCACAACTTGTTTATAGGCCAAAGAAAAGCCAGTATTAACTCCACTGCATAAGAAAAATCGGCTTAGATGCGCTAAAGAACATAGACAATGGACACCTCAACAAGGGTGTGCAATACAATGGAGTGATGAGGCCCGATTGGAAGTTTATGTGGGTGACAGTCGCAGCAGAGTTATTCGCAAAAAAATGAAGCATTCCATGTTGACTGTCTGAAGAGAAAAGTGAAATTTCCAGCATCCATTATGGTCTGGAGCAGTATGTCATCAAAAGGAGTAGGAAAACTTCATTTTATTGATGGAAATGTGGATACAAACAAATATTTGCAATTTTAGAAGAATCGCTTTTACCAGTGATAGAAGAATGTTTGACATCCGGCCAAGATTTTGTGTTTCAGCAAGATGGTGCAGCGTACCCTACCTCAAAAAAGGCTACAAAATGGATGGAAGAAAATAATGTAGCACTTTTGAAATGGGTTTCTAGCAGTCCAGATCTGTCACCTATTAAAACTTTGTGGCAGGAGATGAAAAAGGTTCTAGGACAACATCCTGCTCGTACAATCACTGAACTGAGACAAAAGCTTCAAGAAATATTTACACCAAATTTTTGCCAAAACTTGGTTAACACTGTGCCCCAAAGAATTTCAGCCGTAATAAAAAATAAAGATGATGTTACCCAATGATACTCTTTCAATTGTTGCTTTGTTAACTTCGCGCATTTATTCGCACATTGTTTATTTGTTCAGATGTTTTATTAGTTAGAGGTCTAAGTGATTTCAAATATGTATTTTTTATGACTAGAGTGTATCTAAAATATTTTGAGAAAATAAATTGTTTTAGAAGTAAATAGTTTCGTCATGTTTAGTTTATAAAGGCATATTTTGGTACAAATCTTGAAGTGGGCCAACCGAAGTGGGAAGGGCTTCGTATGTTGAATGCCGCCTCCCTCATCAAATGAGTTTTTTCCTTGTTATTCTTTTAACTAAAAAATAAAGGCATATTATTATTATTATCATTTTGCAATTTCTTCTTTAACCGTCCAATCGTTTGATGTTCAAACAGAAGATTACCTGGAAACATTATGCAAATGCAAGGTTAAATATACTGAGTGACAGAAAAAGGTAAACACCTGCCTATGTTTATTAGAATTCAACAATTTTTTACATATTGATTTATCTTGCCATGAACAACAAGTGATAGAATGGTCAGGTTGTTTGGTGGCTGCGTGTATTGTTTGGTGATGAAGAAACATTCAGTTTTCGTACGTTTATGGTGTCAGTTGAATGTTAAATTTCGGGTAGCTTATTGAGAAGGCTTTTTGTGATTGCCCAAAATGCCTAAAATGCACAGAATTCGCCGGGTATCCCAGATAAGTGACTTTGAGAGGGGTCGAATTGTCGTGTTGCGTGAAGTCGGACTATCGATAAGAGAAGATTCTAGGAGGACCAACAGGTCCTTACGCAGTATACTGCAGTGTGAACGAGCGTGGACTCACGAAAGCCGAGGACAGCGAGCGAGAGGTTATGGACGTCTCAGAGTCACCACAGAGGGACAAGACCGCCTGTTAAGACTTCTGGCTCTGAGAGACAGATTCAGAAGTACTCGGGCCATCGCTAATCAGTGGTTTAAAGAGCATGGAAGGACTGTTTGGTATGCGTACGGTATATCGCCGAATACGACAGTTTAGCCTTTTTTCTTATCGCCCACATTGGGTGCTACGTTTCAGAGCTGAACATCGTCCTAACCGTTTGTTTTGGTGTACCAAGGTCCCCAGACCTCAACAGTTTAGACTACTTCTTGTGGGGCTATCTTAAGACACTAGTGTACACAAGTCCTATTAAGACTGTAGAGGAATTAAGAGAAAGAATAGTTGCAGCTTGTGATAGAATAAGAAACACTCCAGGGATGTTTCAAAGAGTGTGCAATTCCATGAGAAGGAGGGCGGAAGCATGCATGGTGAGTGAAGGGGGCCATTTTCAACAATTTTTGTGATCATTTCGTTGATTTTAATGTTATGTTTATGCTGTCAGTTGTTGTTGTTCATTACGCCTAATGTGTTTAATTTTTCAAATTAAATTAATAATAATTTTGCAAGTTAGACAATAGAACGATTTCTATATTTTTACTCAAAAATGGTGCATCGAAGAAAAGCAATTCAGGAGATCATTTGTTTTAAATTGAACGGGGAATTCAAAAATAATTTTTATTTGGCAAAAAATCATTGGCGTATCATGCTTTCTTAAGAAATATCGAAGTCAATACCCGTACGCACTCCACTGTTAAAGCTAAAAATTAGTTTTGCATTGAAAGATATGCAACTTTATTAACTTTCACTACGTACTAAATATCAGTGGAATATCTGAAGCGGTTCTGAAAATATTAATCAATTTCCATTTTTTCCCCTAAAACTTCAACACACCGAGTTTTTGTAAGGAAACATTTTTGGACCATAGTTTATAAAGCAAACTAAAATTAATTGTTCATGTAGATTCACACCCTCAAATATTCGCATATCATTAAGGGACGCCCTGTATAAGCCATTAATATCAATACTAATAATGATAATAATAATAATAATAATCAACGTCTCTATTTATCTACAATTAAATTGTAATATTAGTCCAGGCTAGACAAAAAAGGTGGAAAAATGTTTAGCAGATATATCTGAAAGTTTTAAATACAAGATAATAATAATCATAATAACATGCCTTTATTCGATTTTTTTGCAAATGCATATTTTGGGTAATGACAAATATACTAAGTGATATATAAATCCGAACACCCAGTTTAAATGGATTTATTTTAATAAAATTTTGAATAAGTACTTAATGAAGCATAATAAGTAAATGATAAAAAATTTCAAAATGATTGCACTGCTTTAAAGCCCTTTGACCTTTAATAATGTGTGGATGCACCCTGATGTGCTACGCATTCTCCAACGCGCCTAGGCATACTTCTGATCAGGTGGTCAATGTCCTCCTGTGGTATCTCATTCCAGGCAACCACCAACTCCTCTCGAAGTGCTTCTAGAGTCTGAGGAGGACGTTGCAAATTGAGCAATCTCCTACCCATCATATCCCACACGTGCTCAATTGGGGATAAGTCGGGAGATCTTGGTGGCCATGGTAACAATGTGACATCATTATGTTGAAAGAAGTCTATTGTGACTCTTGCAACATGTGGTCGGGCATTATCTTGTTGGAAAGTTGGATCTGCCAGGGTGTCAAGATAGGGTAAAAGATGGGGTTCTAGAACTTCGTGGATATAACGCTGCGCGTTCATGTTACCTCTGATGAAGATTAAAGGTGACCTGGAACCATAAGCTATAGCACCCCAAACCATAATTTCAACAGTGTGATGAACATGTCTTTCAACAAAAAACTGTGGATTCCTCCTTTCACCACGTCGCCTTCTAACCCTGGCACGACCATCGTGCATGCCTAAACAAAATTGAGACTCGTCACTAAAGACAATACTGTTCCATTCCTGATCCCAGAGTGACCGTTGTCTGCACCACTCAAGGCGATTACGTCGGTGTTCTCGAGTTAAAGGGAGGACCCAGTGTGGCCGGTATGAAAACAAGCCAAAACTTCTCATTCGTCGGTAAATACTTCGCATGCCAATAGGTCTTCCGCGTTCTGCAAATCATTCATTTGCAATGGACCTGGTAGTGGAGAAACGGTCCCTTAAGGCCAATAATCTTAGGCGGCGATCTTCACGGTCTGTTGTTCTACGGCGGCGTCCAGTGCCCTTGCTCTTTGCGTACGGCCTTCTCGAAGCCATGCCTGACAACACCTAACCACAGTGTCTACACTTCTTTGCACTCTAACTGCAATTGCCCGAAAAGAAAGTCCAGCTTCCCGAAGTCCCACTATACGGCCCCTATCAAACTCACTAAGTTGACGAAATCGTACAGGTCTCCGTACTCTAGGCATCGTAACCGATCGTAAAGGATGTCAAGAACCAAAATTCGCCAACGTTGATTCTTTACTGCGGCTGAAATATTCATTTTTAGAGCGTTAGTGAATTAAAAAAAAAGCAGTATAAAAACCGGAATGTCCAACCTATAAGGCTGAAAATTTGTTCACTTGTTATTTACAGTAAGATAAATACATCCACCAACTTTTATTAAAATAAAACCATTTAAACTGGGTGTTCGGATTTATATGTCACTTAGTATACATAAAAACATACAGCCAGATATGCGTTGTTTCCTATAAACAATGGGAACAACCCAAATACGGGGCTTTTTAGCATGATTGAATAAATGTTTGCAACTACTTCAGTAACAATTAAATAAAATATTTTATGTAAAGAGCTAATTGTTTATCTCAGATACGAATTCCTTAAACAACTGTTCTTGTCCAAGATATGGTTCTAGACAATTTCACAAAAGTGAAATGGATTCTTGAAAGTTTAAACTTGTAAAATTATTCATTTCAAAATTGTTGTTGAGGATGATGTTAAAAAATAGCCATTTTGATAGTAGATATTTACAATAACCCCATTACTTTTCAATATAATTTATTTTAACAGGTTCATCTCTATACGTGGTTAAAAAACGCATATTTGAAACAACCTTTTTCGATCAATAGGAGCCAAGAAATTTTTTTATAATTCATATTTCCATATAAACATTAGGACTTTTCACAGATTTTAATCAAGGATCTTCATTTTATGATCCAATTTATAGTTTTACTATTAGTTCAAAGGTATTTAAGAAATAGAGACCTAAAGTGGCGTTTGTATTTTCGGGTGAGATGGTGTGGAAATGAGCTCTAGCTTGATTCATTTTTTGAAATTCTTCAAATCGGAACGCGCTGTAAAATTTTGCATTATCTCAGCTTCTAAGCAACGTAGACCCTTCTTTTTTAAGTTGGGTAACGCGTCGGAATGATGACATCGGGCACGTCTTCATTTTCCTAGAAAATCGGGAAATCCCGGAAAACTAAACACGTTGTATTAAAAACTAAATTACTCTAGAAATAATAATAAATTAACATAAAGCATTTACTTACATCAAAATTAAATTAATCAAATTGAATTGAAATTTAAATTATACGTGGTACTTTTTCTCCTTTTACATTTTTTTACTCCCCTTTAAAAAAATTTTACTCCTTTCCATTGTTTATACTACGATGTAACTATTCTAATGGCTATTTCTGATGCAATATACCCTTAATGGTTATTTTCGATACAAGTAAATTTGAATCTTTTTTTGAGCTAATTTAAATTAAATGTATTGTCCGTTCATATTATAATGTATTATAATAAAAATATACATTATATAATATTATTATAACACAAAGAGCTTGTTTCTATGTGTTTGGAAAGTACCGTTTTTCCAAACACACTTTTCCAATGATGTGAACGATGTGACGGAGAATAACTGGTAATCAAAGCCGGATCATTGACAGGGACATAACATCAATTTTCTTTGCACCAGATTTTATGCTCTTTATTGCCTGTGATACCATAATGGAAAATATATTCAGAATTCAATTTACTTTTGGAATAGTACTCTCAAGCAAGTGAATCAATGGGTTTGTAGCTATAAGCAGACATAAAAAGTCATTACTCATATCATGTCTGCCTTTGGAGGATTAGTGGAATCGGCAGCCTAAAATACAAACAATATATTGCATCTGGTTAGCTTGAGCGCAAAGGGTGAATGCGATATGCAAGGGCCGTCACATTAGCCGGCCGTGCCAGTGCCGTTACCCAGAAGTCCAACTTGTGTCATGTGACGTCACGACCTCGACGCGCGAGGAAGGTTGGCTACAGCACCCAACAAAGAAAATGTCATAGCTTCAAGTTATCGGAATAATTCTTTCAGATTTGAGAAAGATACCAGTTTTACTATTATATGCCAGTGCAACTAGCATTATTTTCGACTACACTAAGCTTCCTAAATGTCAAATTTCCATAAATATTTCCAAGTGAAACTAGCAAACGATAGGACTATGAAAAGAAAAACGTTCAACTGAGCGCTATTAGAAGAGCCAGCAGATAAAAAATAATTACCTGTTGTTGTAGACAGTTCTCTGAGAAGCGAGTCTTCTAACACTTGCAGCAGACTTTTATTCTCGCTAGTTTCTGCAATGAGACTTTCCCTCTGCTCTTCCAAATCAGGTCTTTCGTTTCTCACTACTACACTCAGTAGTTGGTCCTCAAGACCGGACAAGGTGACAGTGTAATTTATCACGACAGCGACCGCGTAAACTGATGCGTTGAATACAGGATTTGCGAACTTTGTTGTCATGTACATTCTGAAACGATCGATATTAAGTTGTACTTAAAGCAAAAAAGGTCTACGAATGACAAAGTCAATGAATAAAGAGGCGTGCACTGATAAGAAGTTTATATCCAAACTCAAAGCAGTTATGAATTAGTGACTCTTCTGAGATAATAAAAGTATTGATCACACATGGAATTAGTCTATGAAGTCATCATCGTTTGATGCATAAACAGATGTTAAGATATACTAAATGACATAGAAAATGCAACACCGACTAGGAGTGCTGTAATTTTGAGCATTACTTTACAAGCTTTAGGTCTAGTGATAAATAGAAAGTGATTTAAATTTTTACTCGAAATTTCGCAAAATAGCTGAGATATCCCAGCCTAATGTTAATAATGTTCGCTACACATTCGTTAAGTCGTCGCGGCATTGATTGGATTAGGTGATTGATGTCTCCTTGGTGAATTGTATCCCAGGCGATCTGAATTTGGTATCGCAGAGCCTCAAATGTTTGTGGACGGTGCGGTGAATTTTGCAACCTTCTTCCAATCATGTTCCATACAAGTTCGATGGGGGACAGGTCTGGGGAGCGAGGAGACCTCTGAAGCAGATTTACTCCGAAGGCTTCTAAAAAGTCTAAACTAATACGTGTCAAGATGAGGTCGCGCATTGTCCTGCTGAAAAAGTGGATCTGCTATCATCATGCTACCTCGAATGAACGATGGGTGGCCGGCTGCTGTAAGCAATGTCACCCCACACCATAATATCCACAGTGCGATAAACATGCCGTTAGATGGAACATTGTCTTTCATCACATCTCCTCCTTACGCTTGTAAAAAGTCTAACTAAGACCTGCGACATGAGGTCGTCCATTGTCCTACTAAATAGTGGATCTTGCAATGTTTGCAAAAAGAGAAGCAGATGTGGTTGTAAAACTTCGTGTGAATCAAAATTCGAAGACTACATGGAATATACTTAGATCTTTGAATATCGTTAAACATAACTCCATAAGTCTACCTCCACATCTTCAGGATCTCGATTCATTAAATAGTGCTTTTTTAAACGTACCTCAAACAACCAAATCATCAACTCAATTGAACCTTTTAGACAAATATGAAAACGTCAAGAATAGTGGTACTTTTCTGTTCACGACAGTTTCCCCTGCCACTGTAGAGAAATTTATTGATCGCATCAAAAGTCATGCTAAAGGCTCAGATGGCATCACAATTGATATGATCCGTATAATACATAAGCATTTGCTCAAGTATATTACCTTCATTATTAACTTTTGTATAACAAATAATCTTTATCCCTCTTCCTGGAAGAATGCTCTTGTTCTCCCTCTGCCTAAATCTAATTATCCTTCAAGTTTTTCTGATCTTCGTCCTATAAGCATTTTACCAAGTTTATCTAAGCTTTTGGAAATGGCTCTACATGAGCAGCTGCACACATTTGTTTGTCAAAATAATTTACTGACCACCTCCCAATCTGGCTTCAGACCATTACATAGCACCACCACTGCGCTCCTGTCTATATCGGATAATATTTATAGCGCGGTTGATCAAGGAAAGCTGTCCTGCTTAGTTCTTCTTGATTTTAGCAAGGCCTTCGATACGGTTGACCCAAATATTCTCTGTAAAAAGCTTAGATACTTTGGCCTGTCATCATCGGCTTGCACGCTGATTAAGAGCTTTTTATTCAGAAATTTTGGTGTCCCTCAAGGATCTATTTTGAGTCCCCTTTTATTTGCTCTTTATATATGTGATTTTCATGAAACCGCCAGCAACTCAATCGTTCATCATTACGCCGATGATACCCAACTTTATAACTGCTTCGATCCTGATGAATATATGCTTGGCCAACATCAAATAAATCAAGACCTGCAGTCTATTTTTGACATATCTAGTGCTCACAATCTAAAACTAAATCCTGGCAAATCATGCTGCATTTTATTTGGGCCCAAAAAGAATCGTGAAATAAATCAATATCGCATTAATATTATGGTGAATAATGAAGACATATCCTTCGTAAACGAATGCAAAAACCTTGGTATCTGGTTTGACTGCAAGCTACGCTTCACTAAACATGTTAACCAACTATGCAATGCGTCCTATAATGTGCTTCGTCAGTTATATCCGAGTCGAAGTGTCCTGTCGACACAGCTCAAGCTTAAACTCTGCGAGTCCCTTATCCAGTCAAAATTATCTTACGGTGACTCTGTTTATGGACCTGCTCTTTTACAACGTGATGCCGAGCGGATTCAGATGATACAAAACTCATGCATCAGATTTTCTTATGGAATCCGTAAATTTGATCATATTAGTAGCGCTTTTGACCAATCGGGATGGTTTAAGATGAACAAATTGAGGAAACTGCATTGCCTATCTCTGGTACATAAGACCCGTATCCTTAAAGCGCCATATTATCTTTATACAAAACTAAGCCTCCTCTGTCAGTACGATCAAAGATCCTCTAGGAATAAACTCATCTTACTTATCCCGCGGCATTCGACAGCATTGTTCACACGCAGTTTCTCGTACTGGGCACCCAAACTATATAACTGCTTATCAAGTGAGTATAAAGAATATAGCCTAAGCAATTTTAAAAAAAGGTTAAAGATGAGTTTAAAGCAGTCGGATGGCTAAAATTTTACTTTATGGATATCCACAGGTAATTGATTGTTTCCTTTCTCTGATAAGTGTTATATTCTAAGTTTTTTTTTTCTCTCTCTCTCTATAGTTTGTGTCAATGTTTTCCAGGTCGGGTTGAAAAACAGCATAAGCTGACACTCCACCTTTTCGTCACTGTTCCTTTCAAACCAATTATTTTGTAATCGTGTGACGAATAAAGGCCATTTATTTATTATTATTATTATTATTATTATTATACCACAACACCCACAGTGCGACGAATATGCCGTTCTATGGAATATTGGACCTTCCGTCTTTCACTACGTCTCTTCCTTATTCTTGCACGGCCATCATGTGTGCCGAAACAGAATACACGACTGAGTTCCATTCCATTTTCAAGTCTCTCCTTACTCCATACCAATCGTTGCCGACGATGCTGTGGGGTCAGAGGTAGTACAAGATGGGGACGGTATGACAACAGTCCAAAAGACCTTACTCGGCGATAAACTGTCCTCTTTGTTATTGCCCTTCCGGAAGCATCAAACCACTGGTGGCAACTGCCCTTGTTGTGGAAAATCGATCTCTAGTTGTCTCAAATAACGATCCTGTCACGCTGTAGCCACATTTAACGTCCAGTATCTCAAGGTTGTCGATTTTGGCCTTCTTGGAACCACGCTGGATAACATCTCATTACAGTAGCTTCGTTTCGGTTCACCCGATTAGCGATTTCTCTAAAAGAAAATCCGGCTTCACGAAATTAGCGAGTCTATGAGCTCCAGGCATGATAATGCAATGAAACAATAACGAAACAAATGGAACCAACACAGAAATACATATCACTGAATGTTAAGTGAACATGTTCCTATTGTTCGGATCCTGATATTATAACAAAGCTGTTACAAAAAGTACAGCTCGTAATGCCTTCAACATTTTATCAGGGTATACTTCCATGATAGCAAATATGTTTACAAGTTTTTATAAAAATAAAATACAATAAATAATTCTGGCTGTTGCATTTTATATGTCAGTATATCAGGGTATTCCTTAATGATATGCGAATATTTAAAGGTGTGAATCTACACGAAAAATTAATGTTAGTTTACTTCATAAAATATGGTCCAAAAATGTTTCCTTAAACAAACTCGAAAAAAATGAAAGTTAATATATTTTCATAACCGCTTCAGATATTTCACTGATATTTAGTACGTAGTGGAAGTTAATAATGTTGCATATTTCTCAATGTAAAAATAATCTTTAGCTTTAACAGTGGCGTGCGTACGGGTATTGATTCCGATATTTCTTAAGAAAAAATAGTACGCCAATGGTTTTTTGTCAAATAAAAATTATTTTTGAATACCCCGTTCAATTTAAAACAAATGATCTCTCTTGAATTGTTTTCCTTCGATGCGCCATTCTTGAGTAAAAAGAATAAAGACCGTTCTATTGTCCGAGAAAATTAATGTAACAATTGAAGAATGCAATTGGGAAATAAATATCTAGTTGCTCTGGAATATGTCACTGGTTTTTGATATCTGACAAGTCTCTGTTATTCAAATCTGTTCGCTGTGACTTATTTTTCATTATTTAGTTTTTAGAATCTTGTTAATAATGGTGAATTATTCAAATGCAGAAATGGCGGAAATGCATGACGTATATGGCCTTGCCGACAGTAATGGTGAGCAAGCCAGACGGATTTATCACCAGAGATATCCCGATCGTGCTTTGCCAGATAGTCGAACATTTTCTAATATTCATCGTCGTCTTGTTGAAGCTGGTTCTGTCCGAAAAAGAACAACTGAAAGTAGACCTCTAAGTATGAGAACACCTGAAATTGAGGAAGCATAGCTGCACGAGGTCGAAGAACATCCTGAAACGAGTACGAGGAAGCTCGATAGACACTTAAATATTTGCCAACAAATTGTTTGGAGAATTTTAGTGTTAAAGCTACCGATTATTTTGCATTGAAAGATATTCGACTTTATTACCTTTCACTACGTACTATATATCAGTGAAATATCTGAAGCGGTTCTGAAAATATTAATTAATTTCCATTTTTTTCCTAAAACAAACACCCCGAGTTTTTTTGAGGAGACATTTTTGGACCACAGTTTATGAAGCAAACTAACATTAATTTTTCATGTAGATTCACGCATTTAAATATTCGCATATCATTAAAGAACACCCTGTATATACGTATAAAGGGTGTCTCAAAAGTATAAGGTAGAAAAAACTTTAAATATAAGTTTTGGGAAATCAAATGACGCATCTAGTGGTGATCTTGGATTTGACGTTGGCATTCACCTTAAAAACTATTTCATGGACAAGTTGATTTTTTAAATCGGAACCCACATTCTTTTTTGCAGAAGTAGGTATACAAAAAAATTCTTGTCAACGGCAT